ATAGCTCCCCCCCCCAATTTTATATTACAGACTAGGATGTATTATTTTAAAAAATGGGGTGTGGGGGGAAGGAAGGAAGAAGGGCCAAAACGACCCTTTTCCTAGATCCACCCACCCACCTATTAGAAGGTATTCATTGCAAAGCACAGTATATGGGCACGCATGGACGAGGATGGGTAAACCCATAATCTGAAGGAATTTGGTGAAATCAATTTCAATTCAGATTATTTGAAAAGTCCCGAGATGGAGTGTAAACTAAATCAGTGTTCTAGGCGAACAGGCCCCTGAATTGACAGAAGTAACTCCCTTCCTACTTCCTCTTTAAGAGTTCTCCTGTGAAGACTCTTCAGTGAGTGAATTTATATTTAGATTTAGAATTAGAATGGTGGTCCTTTAAAAGAAAATGCTCCAGTATAAATCAGGAATCAATTAAAAGTCACAAAGCCTCCATAACTCTCCATCCTCCCTTAATTTTTTTTCCTGTTAAGCAAGCGCTACTAAAAAAAAAAAAAAAAACAACCTTCTTTTTAAAAGTGTTGTAATATTCCTAATCCTGTTGAAAGAGCTGAGATTATGTGATGTAAAAAGGTTTATGGTTGGAGGAAGGGAGGGAGTGTATAGTGGGATATATAGGTCCTAAAGAGCTGTTTTTTTTGAAAGACCTGGGAAAAGATAAAGGGATTTGGGTTTATTACTTTTCTAAACAGAAAAGAAAACCTCAAAGTTTGGTTGTGTTCTTTGGATGAGAAAACAGCTGACACAAAGAACTTTGTCACAAAACCCTTTCCTTAACATTTGGTTGGATGGCTTAGAAAATGCTACAAATGGACACATGTACACAGTACAGAGCACACGCAGCGCGCACACAAAGTTCAAGATTCCAAAAACTCACGTTTTTCTCAGCCACGTATTTTAGTGCAAATTACAGAACTTACTGGCCTGAAATTTTACATGGGTGTCTAGTCTCGTGTGTCTTTGTGATAAGATACTAAGTGTAGTATCTTGTGATAAGATACTACACTTTGTCAAGTGTAGTATCTTATCAGAATGCATTTAAATTAAAGGGTGGTGGTGGTGGTGGTAGCCCTTCCTTTTCCACCTTTCCTGCAAACGTATATAGCAAAATGTGTAGGTCTCTTTCTATACAAATTAATCTGCAACCAATTGTATCATTTCATCAGCAGAAGCAAGAACAGATGTTTTATTAAAACTGCTACACAGCAGTGAAAATATGCACAAGTCCTGAAATAGTTCTTGAATAGCAGTTGGGTCTCTCTCTCCTCCCCACCCCCTGCAGCTAAAGTGCCCAAAGAAAGCTGTAATAACATCTCTGACTCATAAGCTATTTTTCCCTTTTTCCCCTTCGCCCCTCCCTCCCAGATCTTATCTCTATCTTGATGCTAAAGGAGAGAAATATGCCTCCTTATGATTCTCTCCTCCTTGTGCACCCTCCACGCATGTTTTCTAACCGGAAATAACGTCTGAAAGGAAACAAGTGTACACCTTTGGAGCTTTTCTTTTTCTTTCTTTTTCTCTTGCCAGGTTCTGGTTTTGTGACGTGATCTTGAATGGAAAAACCAGAGACGTTTGTTTACTTGACTGTTTGTGGAGCACGATGGAGGCGAGAGGGAGGGATGAATTTTGTGGGATGTTAATGACTGGATGGATCAGCTGGGACTGTTCGTGCAAGGGCAGACGGGGCAGGGGAGGGAAGACTCGCAAATTCTCACCTACGCTGTGATCTGGATCTAGAAAATGGATTACTCCTAAATGCAGGTTTTTCCTGGTTCGAATTAAATATGTATATATCAATAGTTGCCTTAAGTCAAATGTGTTGGTTCATAATAGGATTAGATTGAACACTTGTGTGGAAAACCCATGTTATTATCCCTTGATAGATGGATTAGAATCCTTCACTCCTCCCCTAAACACACACCATGCGCACACTGATGAGGTACAGATACACACAGCGTACGACTCTTCACTCTTGCCTATTTATAGAGATCAGTGTGTCTAGTAATGTACCCACTGTATTCCTTTTATAGGTGGATGAGATAAATTAGTATGGCAACCAGATCCAGGACTACATATCCATATGATTTTGCCGGTGCTGTAAAACCCTGTTTACATCCAAGCATATTTTGTTTCATAAGTCATTTCATAAGTCACATGTAGCCACGTAGGGGGAAAAAAACCAGGGAAAAAACAAACAAACCCCAAGCCCTAAAGGAAGATATTATGTATGCATCTCTTGGAAACAGGAAATCGATAGATAATCAGAATACCACATAAGCATATAGCATGAGGTCATCGTTTATATGGAAGCAACGTGGGTTTTAAGGTGCTCTGTGAGAAATACTCATGGCAGCGTGAGCTGTCTTTTTTCATTTGAGCTGATCTCACCTTAGATATGTTATCTCGGCCATTTTGGAGTTGACATTTATTACAGGCAAGGCTTCTTGCTTTGTAATTATTTATTTAGAGAGATTGCACTGAAGTTTCACTGTTCTTACAAAATAAGCTTCTTAATTAAATCTTGACTTTTCCCATAAATATCATAATAGCAACAAACAACTACAATAATAACAATAATGGCTCATTAGGTGGATTAAAAATGCCAAATTCAGGCTAAACCAGCGGACTGAGTAACCAACCATAATAAGAATATGAATAATAAGCCAGCAAACAACATCTTTCTAAGGTGCTTGGGAAGGACTAGGGTTAGGTGGATTAAAAATGTCAAATCCAGCCTAAACATCTGACTGACTGTGTCACAAATCATAATAATGTTTGAAAACTAACTCAAAAT